CAATAAAGAAACATTTCAAACATAATCACCCAGATAGATGGGATGAATTAATAAAAATTGTCAATAAGACAAATATTAAACCTTACAATGCGGATAAAATTTTACAAATAAATCAAAGTCTTGTCAAATGGATTATTACAGACCAGCAAGCATTTTTGATAGTTGAAAATAAAGATTTTCAACTATTTATTACTGAATTAATATCATGATATTATCTTCCTTTAAGAAAATTGATCTCACAAAGTGTTTTGAAGTTATACTATAATAAACAAAATGAACTTCGAATCTTTTTTAATACAAGTCAACAAAAGTTTGCTATTACAACAGATTCTTGGACTTCATGTACTAATCTTGCTTTTCTTGTCATTATGCTTCACTGGATAGATAAAAGTTGGACTATGAAACGAATCTTATTGGAGATGATACCACTTCATGAACGGCATACTGGTAGCTATATAACTGAAAAAGTTTTAGAATCAATTTCATTTTACAATATCGGTTCTCATATTATTTCTCTAACTACTGATAATGCATCCAACATGGATGTATTTGGATGTACATTACATGATAAACTTCAATACAAATATGATAATCAAGATTTTGAGCATGTTCGTTGTGCAACTCATGTATTAAACCTTGCTGTCTCAGAGGGTATAAAGGTTACAGTTAATTCAATTACAAAACTATGAAATTTTGCTAGCTATATACGCAAATCGCAACCATTGTTTGAAGATCTTAAAAAGATTTTTCAAATAAATGAAAGGTCATTTCTTGTACCTGATTTGGATGTGCCTTTCTGATGGAATAGTACATATAATATGATTGAAAAGATGCTTCGAATTCGTGAAATGACAGATGTTCTTGTAGAAGATAATCCAATTCTAAAACATTGGTATCTAAATGAGAATGAATGGAATGGAATTGAAGTTAGTGTTTAAAATTAATTATTATTATTAGTATATTAATTTATTTTATTTTAACTTTTTTTATTTTATTTTAGGCGATTGTTATGTTACTTGAGCCTATGGCCAAAGCAATAATAATTTTGTCTTCATCAACATGTCCAACAATGGGTGATTTGCATATGATCTTTCCAATTATTTTAAATATTTTACATGAGATGTTAAATAGTAAAATGCAAATAAAAAATCAAGTTGCACAATGAATCTATAAAAAACTTGATGTTTATTGGACTATTTTTTGAGGTTGTTGCAGTGTTTCTGTTGTATTTGATCCAAACATGAAATTGTCATCATTTGACAATGAGACAGCTATAATTGTATATGAAAGGTTACATAATGTTTATACACAATATATAGGAAAAGAAATTGATAACACATCTTTTGCTAAAAATGATTCTCCAAAAGATTATTTTCAAAAACATTATACTGAGAAGTCAAAGAACAATCCTCTTAAAGAATATCTTACAACTCCTGAAGAGAATTGTAACCCACTTGACTTCTGGAAACAACGATCAACCAATCTATATTATGCAGGGCTTACACAAATGGCTGAGACCACTTAATTGTACAGGCCACAAGTGTGAGCAGTGAGCAAATGTTTTCAATTGCTAAAAACACAATTAACCCATTACACAATCAGCTATCAGAAGAAAACATTTGTGCAAGTATTTGTTTAAAAACATGGTTCGAATCAGGAATTATTAATTGTGCAGAGGGTCATAAATAATGAATGCAATGTGAATGCTAATACAATAAATATATATTATACAAATACACATTCCTCATAGATGCAGCCGCCACTTTGCCAAGAGATACATCCTTAGTAGTTGGCAAAGAAAATGATGTAAGTGGGCAGGTGGTAAAGCCCATTTACATGAAGGGCCAAGTTAATAACGGTCAGACCCAATGTACAAGGAAGACTATAGTACCCTCCACAGCTGTGCAAGCCAAGCATCAAACAGTGAACAACTCTGTAGAAGACAATCTTACCTTTCATTTTCCAGTCTCCAACACTTTACCTTTTGCAGAAACAAACACATGTTACAACAAATTTCTATTACTATACAACCTACCTACTATACACCACTATATAACATTTGGCGAATTCCTATTCTACTTTCAAAAACATTCCTTCAAACATAGCTTTAATATATCTATTAATTATAACATAACTGAGCTACACATATATACTGATCCTTCAGATTCTATTCTGCCTGAACATAATCTTATCCAACCTTTTCAATATGAACTATACAAGCACTTACCTTTACT